GCTATGAGATTGCAGAAGGATTAGTTTATTAACTATTGTTAGTGGTTATTTGTAATAATGGCTTCTCCAAACGCCTCACTCGGGGAGCAATCCTGGCGATTCGACATATTTTTAATTTTTTCTCACTATTAAGGCCAGAACTAGAGCATGTTATCTGTTTTATTTCATCTCCAAAAATTTATTGAAAAATTTGACAAATATTTTTTTTGATAACACAAAATTGTCGATTATCCTTATAATAACTAGGATAATATAAATTGGTCACCAACCCACTTGAATTAACAAATGATTTAAGTTTGAATTAATTTTTCACGAAGGAATATCCGAATATCCTATTTAATTACCTTTGCTACCACATATCTGTGCGAAAGGGATTTTACTCAATGGTCAATATTAAAACAAAACTACGTAATTGACTCGGAATAGTAATGGAATTGAATGAAGTGAGAATACACAAATTAGTGAAGTGTATTTATCAACAGAAGTCTCATTAATTTGGCACATCGTAATCATATCAATTGAAAACGATTATGATGAACTAGCACAAACCACATCTAAAGCTGAATTGAATCAAAAATGATCATTCTATCAATTTGGTTTTGTGTACATTTTAAGCTGCATACCTACATCAAAAAAATGAAACCATCAATAGGTCAAGTTATGTGATGTACAGTGTAAGTATATACCAGAGCAGGTCAACTTATTCGTTATTGAGATAGACTTTTCTACACTTACCGGTAGTTTTTTTTTATTGATAATTTCGTGTATTAGAATATCTTATCACTCAGACTTATTCGTTTTTTTTGTACATATTGCACCCGCAGAAGAAATTGCTCTTCGTGTTATAACACTTGTGGTTTTCGCTGTGATTTGTAACAAGGGATGTTACAAATTGTAAATTATAATTTAGAACATTTATGTAAAATTGACGTAATGCCAATTTATATTTAATTTATTGACTATACAATTTTATTATTGATATTTTATTAATTTTGTTCTGATTTAAATGTGAAAATTGAATGTAGACTTTATTAACTAGGTTATTTATAATCTTATAAATTTTAAATTATTGATAATATTAAAATACGCAAATATAATAAGTCGATAAGAATAAATAAATGTTTTGTTATTATTTAAACAACCTTGATAATTTTCATACAATTCTGGATATATAAAATGAAAGTATATGAATGTCGACATTCAATTAAACAAAAAAAAACCTTGTATTACAATGTATTTAATCGTTCATTCGGTATGCTTTCTTGAAATATTATCAATAGTAAGTTTTCGCAACGTAAAACTGTAAGCACATAAATAATTGTAGTTTTTTTTTGTAGGTGACCGCACTAGATCACTATATAATATACAACGAATGCCTTGAAGATATTATAAATTTCATGGATCCATACGTTGGTACGTTAATATCTATGAATGAAACGGTGGAGAAAGGCAAAGAAGAAATAAAAAAAATCGGTCTACCAATGTTCGAGGAATTCAGAAGAGATGTTCAGAATGGACCACCGCTCTGCTATTACTTTTTACCGGACGTCGGGAATGATTTAATCCTGAAAACGATACTACAGAATTGCGGTATAAACGATTTCGAAGTACTTGCAGATTTGAAGGAAATATTATCGAAATTTCCCGCCGATTTCTCAGAAACGACTTTATCCGAAAGAAGGTACTATTGCGTTTACAACATCAAAAAGAGCATACAGATGTACAATTATCTCAAATCGACAATTGATGCATTGAACGAGTGCGACGAGAGTAAATTGCAGGATAAATTCGAGTATTACTATCGCAGCTCCTGGGAATTATGTCTAAAAAATACGCCACATTAATTTTTGTTCACAATGATAGCGTATGAAGATTTAGTGATTTTAAGATAGTAAATACACAGGAGGCCATAATCCGTTTCAGGCTCTTAAACATACAATTTATCACTTAATTTTGAAAATTTTAATATTTTCTTCTTCACTTATTGTTAAATATAAGATTTTTATCAATTTGGTCCAATTTTGTTGTTGTTTTTTTGAGGATCGAACCAACGACCTTTCTTGTCGGATTTTAGTGATACAGGCGACTATAAACTCATTTCAATCATATGTATTTAAGTCATATGTATAGTAAGTTGCATATAATAAAATAAAGATTTTTTAATAAAGTCCTTATTAGTGTTGTTTGACTCGACACTTAGTGTGTGACTCCGTCTATCTTGGTATACACTACTAAATGTTGGTATTGTATCCTCGACCATATCTATATGAAGATCTTCGTGTATTTGTTTATTCCCGACGAACCGTGGAGCCCTAATAATATTTCTTAGGCATTTTGATTGGAACCTTTGTACAATTTGTATCTGCGATTTACTGGCCGCACTCCACAATTGGATACCATACGTCCACACTGGTGGTATATAACTAATTTATTTTCCACTGATAATTCTGACTTTTTCCCTAGAAGCCAGTAGAGTTTTCTAAACTTTATTTCTAATTGCACCCTCTTAGCCTGTGATCTTTCCAGGTGAGTCATCGTTGTTGCTTCGAATTCGCAATGTTTGATTAACGTTTTTATAATATATAAGAACTGCTGTGTCATAAATTGTATATTCGGGAATTTTGAAGTAGCTTTTACTCGTGAAGTGTGTCTCTGAAATTAACAAGATATCAATTTTCTGATTTTTAAAAACATACTTACTTCATGATAGTGATGACTAAGTCCGTTCGCATTCCATGCGGCTATACGCAGTGAATGTTTCATTATGGCAGCGGTTTCTAAACTTTATGCTACTACGCCTCCCCGAAAACAATTTTTTTTTTCGCGCCTCCCCGAAATTTTTTTATTTTTTCCGCGCCTCCCTTACCTTTTATTGTTTTAATAGATTAAATAATATAGACACGTTTTATTTATTTGAAGATATTATGGTATCAAAATTAATTTATTAAAAAATTTTGGCGCCTCCCCTGGGAGACGCGCCTCCCAGTTTGGAAACCGCTGCATTGTGGGATGGTCGTTGTTTACTTCTGATACACGTCCATTATTGCCTTTTTCATTTCTTTCATTTGAGTTTCCATTCGTTTCAATTCTTGAAGGAGAATTGTTGTGTTGTTTGTTTTTGTCGTTGTACTTTCTGTTGTTGTTTTGTACATATAATTTAAAAAAAAAACATTATAAAATGACAAATTATACTTTATTTTTTATATTCTTAAAATTTTGTATTCTAAATATAATTACACGAACGAACAAATAACAAAATTTCTAGTAAAACATGTGCAGACGTTTATTTTCTTTTTGAAATAAAATTGTTGGGTCATGAAACATTAATATAAACACAAAAAAAACTATGTTTTCTGTCTCAATTTCATCAGCAAGTCAAATCTCCTATTTGATCGGACACCTTGAATGGCAGTCCTCCTATCCTTAACCGCATCTCTTTCGATTCTGGTCTTTTGAATCACAGCTTTGATTTCACTCTCCTTGCTACTCTTCTCATCCTTCCTCACTTTGAAACCGAAACGCGTGTAGTTCGGTTTTACGGGCGACGGTTTCTTCACGGGCATTGGGGGAATAATTACTTTCGCTGGAGTTGCAAGCCTCGAATTTATCGTCCTCTTCGGCGTCTTCAGACCGTCAACGGCAAATCCTACTGCTTTTTTCGGCGTAGCAACGGTTTTATTGGGACTCACTTTAACTGGAGATTTTGCGGCTTTCTTCTCGGAAGTATTTTTTGATAGACCTATAGCTACTTTGCATCCGGATAGAAGCAGTTTGGCTCTCTCCGCTTTCCTGATTGCATGATCTTCGACGCTTTCCAATTTGTTCAAAGCTTCTTTGCGGATTTTCACGAAATTTGGCAATTTCGTTCTGACGTAAGTCTTCGATATGGCTTTGCTGCTAACTTGCACTCCTCCCTTAACTACGGCCGGCTTCTTCATTGAGCTCTTCAACTTGGTCACGTTGCTTAATCTGTTACCTACAAATTTGCTTGTATAAGGGGTGCTGACTCCTGATGGAGGCGTGTTTATCACGACACGTTTCTGCGACATTTTTAGGTTTACGCAACTGTCGTTAATAAACAGTTTGGCATCATCGGTGACGTTGTGCCAGGGTGGAGTTTCGTTCCCTAAATCGGCGTTAAACAAATTCATGACCACGTTTTTTCTCATATTAGATTTACCTTTCGCATTCACTTTCTTATTGGAATTAAGTTCTCCCAGAGTTCTCCTCTTGGCGCTTTGTATAAACGATTCATCCGGTTCCAACTCAAAAGTGGTTCTCTTCTTCGAACTTTGAAGGTAAGAGTCCTCCGGTTTTAATTCGAACGTATTCCGCTTATTGCCACTTGACTTTTTCTTGGATCCACTTCCAAAAGTTTTATTTGGAGACGTTAATTCGAATGTGGTGTTCGCTGGAAACGTTTCATTATTAGGAGTATCGCCAAGTTTTCCATCACCCGAATTCAGCATAAACGAATTTTCATCGACTTTTGTAAACATATCGGTGGCAGCTTTTGGTGAATTTATGAAATCAGCTGAATTCGCATTAATATTATTCACGATGTTAGTGTATATCGATTTCCTAACACGAGATGGACTATTTAATTTCACTTTTGTTTCAACATCATCATTGATTTCCATTGTATTTGTAAGTTTACAATCTCCAGAAGCCCTTTTTCTTTCGGACGATTTACGAACGGCAGATTCAGTTGGAGACTTAATCCTCTTCTTTTCTTTTGCCGTAAAACATTTGGAAGTACTTATTTTCCTTGTTTTCGCTGTATCAGTTGCATCATTCTCAAGAGGTTTCTTTGCCTTGGGCGTTGCTATCTTCAATGCGCTTATTCTTTTTCTCTGAGGCGTGTTCTGCAAATTATTAATAGGTGCCTTGATAACTGATACAGTCTTATTGCATTCATTTTCAATACCGTTGGACGCTTTTACAGACTTCTTAATTGGAGTTTTCGATTTTCTCACACTAACACGTTTTGTTAATTCAGTTAAGTTTCCCTCAATCGGATCATTATTCTCTGCAGATTTGTTATTAGGTTTAGCAGCTACACTTGATTTTATTTTACTTAATGATTTTGGTGTTTTGTTTTGTTCTTGATCGCCAACTTCTGTTTGACATTTGCTTTTATTTGGTGTAGCTCTATTGGATCTTCTTGAACTTAAACGCTTTGTTAAATCATCTAAATTTCCCTGGATAGGCGACTTTTCAAAGTCTTCATACTCTACTTCTTTTTTATTTTTAGGAGTTATGCTATTCGCTTTTTTCGTACTTAGAAGTTTAATTGAATCTTCCAAATTTTCTCCAACGGGCGATTTTTCAAAGTCTTCATTTTCTACATTTTTCTTATTAGTTTTCGGAGTGGTACCATCAGTTATTTTAGTACTTAAGCGTTTAGTTAAATCTTCGAATCTTTCTTCAACAGGCGATTTTTCAAAATCTTCATTTACCTTATTGCTTTTCGGTGTGACACTATTAGCTTTTCTCGCTCTTAATGGTTTACTTAAATCTTCCAAATTTTCCCCTTCATTTTCCATATTTTTCTTATCAGTTTTCGGAGTGATACTATTAGTTTTTCTCGTACTTAAACGTTTTGTTAAATCTTCTGCATTTTCCGCAACAGCTATTTTTTCTACATTTTCCTTGATCTTCTTAATTTTAGGTGTAATATTATTTACTTTTCTTAAGCTCGCACGTTTTTTTGAATCATCTATATTTTGCTCAATTGGTAATTTTTCTTCACATTCGTTTTCCATAAACTTTTTAATTTTTGGAGTGATGCTATTAGCTTTTCTCACGCTTAAACGTTTAGTTAAATCTAACAAATTTCCTTGAATGGGCGATTTTTCAAATACCTTATCTTCATCTTCCACAAAATTTTTGGATTTCATAGGGGTACTCATAGATTTTCTACTACTAAGCTTTCTACTTGCACCACTTGAATTACCAGCAAAAGCGGATTTCTCTAAAGTGAGATTTTCATCAAAAATATTATAGTTGAAAGGTTTTTCATCATCTATTTCCATACTTTCAACTGGTATGGGAGAGGAAATTTTTGATAATCTGCCTGCAGACAATCTCGATTCATTGAAATTTTTCTCAAGTACTTCATTGTTATAGTCCTCAAACATATCATGTAAATTATATACATTCAAATTTGATTTATCTCTACTTACAACTTTACTCTTCTTTTTATCTCCACCTACTAATTTTTTCTGTGAACTTTTTTCTATCAAATTCCGTTTTTGTTTGGGGCTATCTTCTGCTTTCTTTACAAATGTATTTCTAGCATTTTCATAACTCGTATTAATTTTATCACTATTAATTAATTTAACTGTCCTCGTGCTCCTTCTGAGCGGACTGCTTATTTTATCAATTTTATTTTGCTCAAAAAGCTGAGACAATTTTCTCACACTTGGTGTTTCAGGAATATCAGGACTTAGATCTGAATTTGATTTCTCTTTAATTGATTCATCAACACTCTTAAAATCACTGGTGTTCGGAGATTCACTTTCAACTTTACTTTGCTTCTCCAGTACTGCTTTCTTAGACTTCTTACTTTTCTTTTTAACAATTTCTGGACTAATAGCACTTTCTTGTTTAACAATCTTTTTAGATTTTTTAACTTTTTTCTTCTTCCCAGACATAGCATCTAACTTTTCTTCAATGGCTGGATGTTTGAGTGCAACATCAGAATCGGACAATTCTAAAGTAGGTTCTTTCTTCAGCTTTTTCTTCTTTATTACAGGCGTTCCCATTTCAACATTTTCCTTGTTACTGGTTTTATTCCTTCGCTTAATCTTTGCAACAGGTGTTCCATCATCCACATCAGCATTTTCAATTAATCTCTTCACTTTAGTTTTTTTCACCTTCTTTGTTTTTTTGGAAGGAGATTCTGCATTGTTTGAAATGGTCTTCCTTTTCAATTGAATTTCTTCGGAGCCACTTGAAAGAGTTTCAGAATCAAATTGCATATAACTCATGGATTTCATTTTTCGTTGCTTCCTAGTTAACACTTTACTGGATGATTCCACATCACTCATTTTGATGGTAACTTTAAGACTTTTTCGTATTAATTTAATTAAAACCAAAATATTTCATACTCCAAACACGAAAAAACCGCTGCACGTTTGAATGTATTTTTTTTTAATATTTTAACTGTCATTTTAAATACCAATGTGACCAACGGCTTTTTTCTTAAATTAGTAACTTTAGTTAATATTAATATTCCACATTAATAAAATATAAACTGTATATTATATTATAACTACATATACATAACAATAAAATATAATGATATATAAAAAGAATTACTAGTATTTAATGATGTAATACAATTAGACTATATTAATTTTTTATAATGTATGTGCAGTTGCATATGATAGTTGTACATCACGAAAATCTGATACGAAAGGTCGTTGGTTCGATTCCAAAAAACCAACAAAAATGCCAATATAAAAAAAATAATTACAGAGGAATTTTATTCTTATTTTAAACCCTGACGAAAGTTATCTCACTGTTATTTATTCATTCATACACAACCTACCATCTTCCTACTTGTTGAGAAGCGGTTTTTTTTAACACCAATATTTCACAATACATATAGGATACAAACAATCCTAACTAAATTTGAGACAAATCCAACATACAAATCAATTATACCGGGTCTATATCGCAAGCGCGACAACCGAAAGACCGTCTATTGAAATCCCGACTGTATCGAAATCCCGACTATATCAAAATCTCGACAACCATATTCCCGACTGTATCAGAATCTCGACCACCATAATCGCTACAAACATAATGCCGACTATATCAAATTATTTTACTATAACATTTTTAAATTATTTCGAAGGAACACAACAAATAATGACTGTCCATTTTTTAAACATTTATGTACATTTTTATACTGACAAAGAAAGAACAATATTAAATCTTAAATCTATCTCTTTGTTGTTAAGAAACATCTAATCAGTTACCATAGATTCTATAATTATATTTCTCATTCTGTCAAATATCTTCCCTCTTTGAGGTCTCTTACACTACATTTTGTAATCATTAATTTATAATTTTGTAATGTTGTTGTTCACTTGACATGAAAAACTACGTGGTTTTGCAATCTACATTATTTTTAATTCTAATAATATTCAAACTTTTATCATTATATTTACGACAAATATACAATACAAATAAAATTAAATTGTTTATAGTTATGAAGATACGATAAAAAGGAAATGTGTTCAGATAAATATTATTTGTTTTATATTAGAAACAGAAAATACTGTAAAAAAAATCGTTTATTGAATGAATTTGCAATTATTAGTGCATAATACTGAAATACTATTATTATGAGCCAAAAAAAATAAATAAAAACACATTTTTTTTTGTTAATTAAGAATATAATACATAAGTTACAATAAATATTTTCATAATGTTAAAAAAAATGATAAATAGAATTGATATGAAAAATTTCTATTTGATATTGATGCATTTCAGCCAAGCCTCAATGTATATCTCGTTGAATTTCTCTTCAGCGTCGCAGTTGATGGCAAGATCCGCATTGGTTTTTACTCGATCGCAATATCCGTTCATGGCTGGCATCAGTTCCTCGCAGAGCTTCTCCTTGTTTTCGGACTTGTTTTCCTTCAGCTTCGGAAGAAGTTCGTTTATCAATTTCCCATTATCAACGAACTGAGGGTCAAGCAGTGTCGGTCCGCAGCTCAAATAGATGTCCGCCAATCTGTCGACGGCGTTTGACTTCAGCTGATAGTTTTGACACTCCAACGGTCCGTTACGAATGCGCCTGTTCAGATCCGCAATCTTCACATGGACCATCTGCAGCAGTTCACTTGCAGCCATCCCGGATCGTTGGAATTGAGCGTTTATGAAGTTGACGAAATTCTCGGACGCCTTCTCTGTGTCGTTCACGCAATCCTCGTAACTCATGCATGTCGGTGTTACCTTAAAAAAATATATCAAACTTTATATTTGACAACTGGGTTTATCCAACATGCTGACAATTACCACGAGAAGTTATATGAACGAAACCATTTTGTTTTCCCGCCAATGTATTTCATTTGATTTTATGTTCTTTTTTTGACAGTTCTGAAGTCCGGACTTCAGAACAGCCATAAAACAAAACACTACTAATTATAAATTTATGTACAGTCAACCCTCCTATAACGCGGTGAGTGCGTACCGCGTTATATGGAAACCGCGCTATAAGAAACTCGGATTTAACCGTACAAACCAGGCTAATTCGTAGCGTATTCTATGGAAACCGCGCTATAAGAAACTCGGAATTAGTACAAATCACATCATTCGTACCGCGTTATATGGAGACCAATAAATACAAAAGACAAGATAAATTATAAATTATTTTTATTGAATTGAATTGAAGAGTTCATATAAGGATTGATAAAAAAAAAATGAAACAAGAACTAAACTAAAAGACTGTTTTTCAACAAAAACAATGAAGACTTTTGTAAAATTATGTAATCTTTCAACACTCATCCTCGCTGTCAGATATGAGTCGCATAACTTGTCTTCTTTTAATGGGCAAAATATCTTCATCACTTAGTTCATTGTAGCTTTTTTTTCTAACTCCACTAAAACCTCTCTATAGGGAGCTAAGCAATTTCTTAACTCTCTTTTAAACTTTGCGCTGCGCACCGTTGAACAATCAGTTTGAATGAAATGAAGTTCTAATTTTTTAGCCAAATTTAGCCCTTTTTTCACATTTTGTAAATCGAGATTTGGCACCCTTATTCGTTTTCGTTTTCCTTATTTTCGTTTACCAATGCATTTGAGATGGATGCATCAATTAATTCCATCAGTTCTTCCTGATCTAAAGTTTCTTCCCCGAGTACTAGTTCTCTTACATCCTGATGGTTTACTGCAAATTCTTCATCGCTTAAACGAGAAGCAATGTTTACTATTTCTGTAACTGGGAGTGAAATTGTAGAATCATCTTGTATTGCTTGAACCATTTGAGGTAAAAGAGGATTCCAACACGAATTAAGCGTTGATGGTGTAATTTCAGCGCAAGCCGATGACACGGTTCTAATACAATCTAAAATAGAAAATTCAATATCTAGTTACTAGAGTCATTCATAGGCTGCGCGGAAGGAACTTATGGCATGCTGTTGAACGGAAACCGCGCTGTCAGAGTACCGCGTTATAGGAGAGCTGTCTCAATTTCAGCTCCGCGTTATATAGAAACCGCGTTCTGAGAGTACCGCGTTATAGGAGGGTTGACTGTATTATATAACTTTAATATCTTTTCGGATGTTCTGTTTTGTCATTTTTCTTCTTTGGTGTGTTCTTTTTTAGTGCTGTTCTGGTTTGTCCGGTCCGGTCACCCTTTTATATATTTCGACGTTTGACAATCTTTATCTTCAATTATCCGACGCTACAATCTACCATCTTATCCAACATTGATGTTGTTCTTATATCAATTTTAATTTGATAATTGTAAAGTTTGAATTTTTATATTTTTTTTTAGAACGTTCTACAATAATTTGAAGTTGTACTAGAATTGAATTTTCATTCAAATCTAGTAATATCAAATGAATATCACAGCTATTTCTGTGTTAAATGATCAATTTTCATTTGACAGTTCTTTGACAGACCTTCCTTTTTTTTACTGACATTTGATTAATTCCCGAAGAAGAAAATATGATATTTCTTATCAAATTTTAATAAGTATTTATCAATAAACAAATTGAATAGCAGTAAAATGATGTTAATATTAAAAAAAATATGTATAATTCAAGACTTTATCTGATACAAAAACTAAAATATAACGTTTTATTTTTAATAATTATTATCAATAACCTTTTGCAGCAGTTGAATTTTCATTTTATTTTAATTATTGTATTAAGGTTTTATTTAGTATTTTTATTGTTGCAATTAATGTTATTATTATTATTAATATGTAATTGTTAATTAGTTAAATATTTAAACTTATGCTGATACGCAACAATATTGATAAAAATGAAAATTTATAATTGTGTTTACCTTATTTGCGGATAATAATGTTAGAAGAACGACTACTATACCAGTCGGATGCATATTTGTACTCGCGTTTAACCTCCTCTAACCTATGCTGAACACTAACTGTTTCATTAATACAATGAGCGTCGATAAACCTATTCTGATTCGTAACGGAACATCGATACGATTCACTATTCAACGATTCCCACTATTTATCCTATTCGGACAATTTTAATATCTAAGTACATTCACATTTAAAGAAAAAGATTATTATAAAACTGTTGAAGTATTTTTAAATATTAGAATGCATTTAGTACAAGTGGAATTTAATATTATTATGTTTTGTTTGTGAAACAAAACTAAATAATACGCATTTTTTACACACCATGGAATGTTTTTGAAACCAAGACAACGGTTATTTCAATAGATTAATATAAAAAAAACAACTTATTTAATTTAGATTTAGGTCGAATGTATTATAATCTTATAATTACAATTACAGCTAATATTTGCTATTATTATTAAATAATATACACTTGTAACTCGATTAACAAATAGTATAAGTTCCAAAGATAATTTCGTTAATCCAAACTTCGTTTTCAGATATACAAATACTATGGTCAGGAGTATGTTCATACATAAATGAAAATGAAAAGTTTTATTAAACATACAAGGTGAAATCACATTTTCAACCTATTATGGATTTCTAAATCTTCCACTAATAAAACCATTATCTTCAGCATTCAATAAATTTCAATCAACCTCTTCATCGTGATTTTAGAAACTCACTGGAAACATTTTGTCAGATAATTGTTAGACCATAAATCAGATATTTTTTATATTAAAGAGAAGTTGACTGATACATAGAAACAAAATAAACTATTTTTCTGTTTATTACTCTTTATCTTATGTGCATTTTTTAACTATTCATTACTTTTATCAGTTGTTAATGTTTGAAAAATTACATTTTAAATTACTCAATTTAAATTCGTTATATATAACTTATTTAAAGAAAAAAAAAGAAAGAAAATATAAATTTTTATTTTTGTAAATGTGAAATATCTTTATTATTTTCCAACGTCATTGGTGAGTAAACATCTTTTAGATTTTATTGTATTGGGTTGTTCGTTGTAAATAATTTCCTATTTCACGGATAAATGCTTTAAAAGTTCTGTTAATTACAGAACAATTGAAAATAAAAAAAATTGGTGGAAGACTATTAACTGTCGTTCGTAATAGTTTCTTTTTTAAATTTTTAGTAATATTATTTAAAACAATTTTTGTTTTGTATTTTTGGATTGGTTCACAACTAACACACAGTTCTGTTTAAAATGTTTTGTTTTTTGGTGTTCTGTTAGCAACGAAAAATTATTTGAAACAAACTTCACTCCATTTCCTACATGCGGTTTTCTAATAGATTATGTTTTCTTATGTATTTTAGACTACCGTTTGTGTTAATTATATTCATAACTTTTTATTTGACAACATTGTCAATATGGAGCAAAACAATTAGTATTTTTAATACTAATACTAAAATTTGATTTGACCTAAACATACGAAATTACTTTCTGAATAACCGAATAACTATATCGAACATCATATTAGAACATTAAATATGAAATATCCGATTTCCTCAAGTTTGATAACTTATATATCGGATATTTTACTTTAACCATCCTTTGGATTTACTTTTATTGTGAATGTACGAGGGTAGTCCTAGAAGTACCCGATCTAACAAAGAAAACACAAAAAAAAACTCGGCATCCATCTTGCACAACTTCCTTATCGCCAAATTTTTCAGTTAATATGCGATGTACACTAACTCGCGCACGGTCATCCAATACTATTTTATGCATTTTCTTCACCATTCCTAGCGTGGTTACCTCATTTTATCGACCACTGCGATGTTCGTCTTGGCAGCTCGTACGACCTCGTTTGCTGCCTTTCAATAGTTTTTTGTTGCAAACAAAGGAGCAGACTCCCCAAGAGTAGAATCTAGCTCGGCTTTGAAATTGGTTGGACTGAGTCCTTTTAAATGAAAGTATTGTATCACATAATGATAACAATTTTTTCCATGTTACAAATTCACTGACAGCGTTCACTACTGATGACTGTCGAACAAATACTAAACAACGTAGCGTCTTCAAACTTCAAACATAAGCTTTATAAGCTTTTGATCATAGTATTTTTTTTTTTTCAAACAATAACCGCCATTTATACGTGAGGTCAGGTACTTCTGGGACTGCCCTCTAAAATCTTAAACCTTTAAGACACATCTGTCAAATTGTGTAGATCACATTATGAGTTCCGTCGTTCTGTCGTGTCCCAGGGATGGAATTGTGGACACAGTGGAATATCTTCTTCTGGTGTTGTCGTTTTGGAGTCTCAGTTGTAGGAAGTAAATAATTCAATTGGTTTTAACAAGTTTATTATAATATTTGGTACTCTTCCAAGACAATGTATATACTTTTAGAGATTGACTAAGACTAATTACAAATATGAATTATACTAACAAAGTTAATTCGTATTAATATGGACGGGGTGGGAGTTTGAGGAGTAAGGCACGTTTTTTTAAAAAGACGCTCCACTTCAGGTCACTGTTCTCCGTGTGATCTGTCGATTCTGCAGTTTGGTTTCTGTTAAAAACACGAAGAAATACCGCAAACGGTCATAGTCTTCCGTGGGATCTGCCTACTCTGCATTTTGGTTTCTAGTATGAAGAAGCGCCACAAATGGTCACTGTCCTCCGTGGGATTTGTCCATTGTGCATCTTGGTATCAAGTTGACAATACGAAGAACGCTGCAAACGGTCACCGTCTTCCGTGGGATCTGCCTACTATGCATATTGGTTCTGTTAATGATATATAATTTGTCAGTGGTACCCAACTTTAGTGGTTGGACACAACCTATAACTTACTATAACTTCATGAGACTTAGTCAATCGCAGCAGATGTGTACTGTAACAAAATAGACAAAATAATGAGAGAGCTTAGGATTAAGCAGTCAAGATTGGGGAATAGAGACAGACTGAATAACGTTATTGTAAAATGTTCTTCATCCGTTCCGAAATAGTGTCCGATTTTAGTTTTTAATGGATAATTGAAATAATGAAATTAATAGCCGTCTGAAGTTTGATATCATGGCATCATCATGGCAAAAACTATCCAAAAAGTGAAAAAATAAATAAATTTGAATAGCGATATAGGTTTCTTTAACGCCATTGTCAATAAATGAAACACAGAGAGTCCCCGTTCACTATTAACTAATGTGGCCGTGTATAAAGCATGGGACAAAATAACCGCGAAAAAACTAGACAATCTTTTCATTACATTGCAGAAGTGTTTAGATTAGTAGTCTTCAAACTTTGAAAATCCGCGGCCTAGCGAAATATTTCGCTTTGTAGCAAATTTGCAATGTGTATTTCTGAAAATGAATACAGCGGTATTAACATCCATTTGATTTCTCTGTTTGATTTTAAAGGAAATCGAAAAAACGACCAACAAGTGTAAAGCTTTATAACTCAGAGATGGATATTATTCACCGAAGGATATCCAAAATTGATATAACGATTTCATTTTATGTCTGGAAACCACAATGACATCAGAAGATAACTCGATCAACTTTTCTTTCTCTCCAAAAATACATTTTTTCCAGTTAATATCAGCAGAATTTAAAAGTTTCATGTGCACGACGTCCCAAAGAGCCAGCTTCTATTTGAACGCATCCATTATTTCTTTGTATACAAATATTCGTAGAAGATCTTTGGAGAGAAATAACTTTGTACAGAAGTTTAATTGCTCTTGCAGAACAATAAGTAAGTTTCTTCCCAGATAATTTTGGAAAACTTGAGTTTTAAAAATATATGAACAAAAGTTTAAATGAAAAACTAATGCTTTTGAATCCTTTGATTTATATTCAGGCAGTAAAATTGTATACATGTATTTTCTTAGAATAATTATAACGTACAACAGAAATAATTTGTAATGTAAATTTGTAATTTAAAACTCTATTTTAATTAGTTAATTTTCTCTAACTACAGTATCATAAAAAATGCTTATTGAGCAGAATAGACACAAGCCAACCAAGGTTGACGGTACAATTCATCGAATTTTTCTTCAATGTTACATTGTTCCAAAGCCTTCTTGTTGTTTTCGTTGATTTTGCAGTAATCGTTGATGACAGGAACGATGGCCTTACAGTACTTCTGTCTTTCCTCTTCGGTGCTGCTTTCCAAATATTCTTCAGGGAACGAAAGGATTTCCTCGGCAATATCGGAGTCTACTGTGTATTCGAGGGTGCCGCATGCTTCAAGAATGTTCTCAACGTGATTGTTAACATTAACGACGCACCCATTCGGTCCGTTCGACGCTTCCCTAAGCAAATTGTTAACGTTATCCTTGAGAGCAAATCTCAACTGCAAAGTCTTATTGAATTCGCTGATAAAGATGTCCTCGGCGATCAATTTCGAGTGTTTGATGTCCTTAACGCACTCATCATAGTTGTTGCATTCTTTGCACAATACCTTTAAGAAGCAAAAAACAAAAAAAAATATAAATTTGAAAGAAAAATGAAGAAAACTGGCTTACCTGTGAGCAGAAGAGTGCTGCGAAAACGACAAAGACTTGTACGGTGTTCATTGTGATGAAGTGTATACTGTGCCTTAGTCCTCTTGGATCCTCACTTTTTATACTCACTCTTATCGCATTGTTTAATATTTATTTGTGTAGATAATATACAATTTGAAGTTACGAATATTTGCATTCGGGTTTTAGATTTGTATTTTTTTTCCTAGAAAAAATAAAGTGCGGATAAAAGTGTCACAAATAGGTGATAGTCGCACTAATCCGATTATATGCCAAAAAAATCCACAATTTTTTTTAAGAAACGCATTTGTTTTTTATGATAGTCATGTTTATTTATAATCTATTAACGTTATGTAATTATATAAAGTTGATAAAAAAAAACATCTGCAACAGATATAGTATATAAATGTTAAAATTCAAGAAGTTTTCTTCATTACGAATTGCTGAAGTCAATCGGTTATTATAATTCATGCGATTCATGTCAATTTTTTTTTACAAACTACACGCTTATAAACTTATTTATTTTAATTTACAATTATAGAGATGGTTTAATCTATTTTCAGGTATTGTTATTTCTTATCTGCTTTCACTTTTTCTTCGTTCAACATTTTTTAAAGATAGTACAATGCTTTCATTGCTCCCATTACAATATAGTAGTAATTAACTATTTTTATTAAAATAACAAAAGGATTAAACCTTATATAATTTCTAAACCAATTTTAAATAAAAAATGTAGATTAAAAAAATGATACGTTGTGTTTCTTCTTTTTTGTAAAAAATATTATTATATAAGTATCTACTATGTTACTATATGTCTACATTAATATTATTAGTCTTTGGTTATTGTAAAATAGTAAGTTTGTTCATTTTAGTAGTTTTTCATAAAATGCAATCGAACTTATTTTTTATAAAATAAAGCAAATTTAGTTAGGGAATATTCAAATAAATAGTAAATTATACTTCCTCTGTCCGAAAATATGGTATATAAAATTTTAGATTATCTGGAGTTTCGAAAGTAACTGTTAATACTTATTATATTGGTATAGTTTACATTGATAGCTAACTAATCTAACATATTTGACAGTCGTTGCTTTTGAGTTAAGTTGATATATTAGTGACCGCTGTAATTTCAAAATGGAAAATTTTAACCCAAATAACGTGAATTTACAAAGAAGAAATTGACCAATGAATAACGTAATGATATTTTGTAACAGCTATTGCAGTATATGAACAACAAAGAAAAATTAGAACACGGTTCTACTGATGGTTGGAATATTCAATTTAAGTCACAACCACCAACGATTTAAACCAGAGGTTCCCAAACTTGTTTGTGTCGTAGACCCCTTGTCATGTTTTTCGGTTTTGGGTAGACCCCCTAGTTACCTGATATTGATTTTTTGTAAATTTCTAACTGTAGTGAAGTTTAGTGTTAAAAACTTATAGTAAAAACACATGTTAAATTTTGTATGACGATGGAAAGGAAATTAAAAATTTCCTCGCTATATTCCATAATACGGGATAAGTAACGGAACGGGTATGTTGTTTTGTAGCCAGAATTGCTGATATCCGTTTTTAAATTAATTATCCACGGTGGTATTACCATAGTCAAAACGTCCTCAAACCTAGTTTCTAAATCTGAATAGAGGGCATTTAAATGTTGAACGTATGTTGAAACGTCGTCTTCCTGGCAGTTTAACTCTGGCAAAAAACGCTGATAAGATAGACTTTGTTTTAATCAAATTTAGACTGTCGCCTTGTAAACAAATCTGTTAAATAGGCGATATCTATTTTGCACTTCATTAAATTGTCTTTTAAAATTTTATCTTTAATATGCAAAAAATCTTGTCAAACATAAGCCTTTCGACAGCCAGCGTACTTCAGTGTGAAGGAGTAATTGATGAAAGTGTTTGTTATTTTCTTCACACAACTGCGCAAATAACCGCGTATTCAATGCGTTGCTTCGGATTCGGTTTACTGCATCAATTGAAGAGATTCATACAATCTAACACTCAAATTATTAGCAACATTATATTACATTATGTCTGTATGGAATCAATTATGTTAACAGGAGGAGGAAAAAAATTAACCATATAAATAAGATAAAACTTTCTCGTGAGGGTCGATTAACTGAAAGGTTAATATGTTCAAAAAAAGCGTTCAACAAGACTAATTTTAGTTGTATTTAATTTTTTGCAGCAAACAAATACTAATATTTTTACAAAAAAAAATAAATTTTATTTAAATATATTTAATGCTTAAATAACATAAATCTATTTAAAAGTAGATAACAAAGAAAAAAAAATACTTTCTAATATTTAAAGGTCAACTGAGAAAAATGTTTACGAACGTTTGTGAACTTTAATTACTTAAATATATTATACATTTTTGTTTAAACTTTTATTTGTTGCTCTCTTTTGGCTTGCAGTGAATGAGGAGAAATGCATAAACCTCAGTCATAGTATGTCTGTTAACGTGCGTCAACATCATCAACAAATAAATGTCATAGTACAAAATATGATAGAGGTGTGGACTACATTTTGATACTTTAGCAGGAGCATCAATCGTAGCAGCGCTAATGGCGCAAGTATAGGTAAGAGAATCGACAATCCGTGAGATTAAAACGAGCGCTATCATTATCTGTATTTCTTATTCATCATCCCCTTTCGCTTCTTGTCTTCCTCCTCCATCTTTGTGTTCTCCATCTTTTAGTACAAATCACTTCCTCGCACATTTGCTGCATGAACGTAGATTCTATATTATCGACTATGTCGATATATTATGTCGTCTATGTCGATATATTTCCGTTAACCGTAACCGAAGATCTCGCTGATGTGTTTCTAGTAATTCTCCTTATATCCGTGCCATCAGTCTCTGCATCAAAGTCGCGATTGTAGAATATGCATTTCCTATCAATAAATTTGGGTTTGGGCTTTATACCCAAACGTAGGAATCGTCTCTCCTTAAGACGTTTATTTAGGTCCCGAAGTGGGAAGGAAACGCTACGAATCTTCTTTTTCGGATTTATTTTCTGTTGTTAATTTAACAACTGCTGATGTCAAGTCGCGTCCAGAGACATCTTTGCCAATTTTTCGATTCTGGTGATGAAATTTTGATAGATCGTTGTGTTTCTGGCTTACCTCCAATTTTTTCCGCACTCGTTTTGAGCGTAAGAGACAAGTAACCTTGCCTGGTCTGCCATTTTCTTTGTTTCTCTAAACTCTTCTTCCAGATCGAGCTTTTGCTTATTCATCAGCTTCTCTGCCATATACTTATTTTGCCCCAGAATTGGTTCAAATTGCTTCTTTTTACCCATTTGGCATTGTTAGTCTCCTGTTCCTTCCTGACACGCAACTTCTGGATGATCACCTGAAAGCGTCTTCGAATTCCTTTGGAGAATCGAATTTGGTAGTGTGATGTTGAATGTAAAACAAAAAGATAGTATCTGCCAAAATATTTTTCATGAGGGCACACCTCTTACTCGCCTAATTTGCGGCACACTAAAAATCCGAACAGAACTTAATACATTAAATATTCCAACAAGACTCAAATGATGAAAGTCCAAAACAAACAAAGTCTACTGGAAGGCCAAATACGTGACAAAACATAGATGCTCTGGAAAGAGTGTAGAGAAAGGGAGCAATGAGGGCATGCTGCATGAGTGATAATAAAAAGTGGTAGAGCGGCACAAAGGTAACATGGCTGATGCCAAATCTCGAGCAGTGAATAAGACAGAAGCACGGAGATGTAATTTTCCATCTGTCGTAGTTTCTTTCCGGACACCGATACTTTGAAAGTACGTCCAAGAGGAGGATGGGCCTGTAAAACCTGGTAAGCATTATGCTAGAAAGCTAGGAAAAATATTCGTTGTGTCTCAAGACGTAACTACAATCAGCCGTTATCATGACACCTTCAACTTCCCGTCCATTCACTGGCTGCAAAAATGATTTTGGTATTCCGTAACTTCTTTTGATGCAACATTTTCAATTATTACAAAGATTGCTTAATTGCAGCATTAATAATCTGTAGATAAAAATCATCAGATTTCAATCCGGTTTTTAGCAAAATTTCACGTATTAAATCTTCGACAAAGAATATAAGATCCGTTGATGCTCAACTTCTTGTACTCGGATTCGGCTTGAACCTTTATCTTGTAAACAAGGTTTTTAATAAAACCGATTAATTCGCGCGGTTAAACTTATTTCAAATGTTGCTGCTTCTGATGTAAAGTGTAATTTAAAGTTCAAAATTTGCAATTATATACCTACTTGATGTGTATTAAGTATAAATAAAATTAGGGTAATTATTTGAAGAAAAAATAATATTTTGTTACATTTATTGCCAAATAAAATTGTGGAAATTCCATGTTCATATTGTAAAATTATATATATTAATAAATTATATACCTGTTTCTAAATACTATTTTTTTACTATATTTATTGGTTCGCAGTCTTTTTTTCGAAAACATCTTTATTTTATGAATATAGTATGCATTTAAATGAATCTTAATAAATCTTTACAAAAGTATAGATTCTATATTTTTATACTATAGAACGATGTAGAGGGCAGCATGTTCGGACATGGAGTTTATTTTTACGAGAGAATGATTTAAGTTGTGTTTTCTATCAATAATATTTTTTCCATATTTTTTCAATGTATTGCTTGTAAAATGTATGTTAAGTAATATTTTAGAAATATTTGGTAATACGACCAAATATGATAATACTAAATAGGGAAAGTACCTATTTAGTATTATCAAAATTAAAATGAAAATAATAAAAAATATATTGGTGGCAATAAAATATTACAGGTAGCAAATTGCAAATAAAAAACCTCCCACCACCTCACTCCCCTTAATAATACCTGTTAAGAAGGTATATAAGAAGGCAAATTTAGTGGATTACATTACAGTTAGCACTTTGCATCGAAAGCAGACATTGAAATCCACCAATTCAACTCCGCAAATTGACCAAGCTGATAAGTTTAATACTTCCGAACATTTGAACAGGTAGGTTCACCGTAATATGATACTTTTATGAATTTATTTCCTAATATCTATGTTTTTTTTTACAGAAATTATCACTCCAAAC